GGTGGAACTGAGATAACAAGAAGGGATTTTTTTGAGGGAGTTTGGAATCCTGGATAAGCACAGCCCATTCTGCCTGAGGCTTCTCAAACATCTCCTTCCATTATTCCCATTAAATCTGGAGAACCTTTTCCCTTTCTTCACCTTGAGCCAGCTCTGTGCTGCTGGAAGTCAAGACCTGGAGGATTCCCCTGCTCCTCTCCTATCTCCTGTTTTTATGTGGAGCACAGTTCAGGAGCAGCATGAATCAGATGAGACTCTGATTCCCATTCCACTTTCGGAGTTGATAGTGGAGGGTAAAATACCACAGACATGCAGATTCCAATTTGGGGTAATTTTTGTCCTCCAGGCTCCCCTTTATTGCCCTGTTGTTGTCCCTGCCAGCAGCTGACTCCAGTGCTTTTCCTTTCCTTCCCTTCCCTTCCCAAACCTTCCCAAACCTTCCCAAACCTTCCCTTCCTTTCCCACTGCCTGGACTTCACTCAACACATGGAAAATTGGAGGCAAAGAGTTCAAACTTGTTGAGAGGAACATGCCCGAGAAAGCACAGGATTATTTTCCCTGATTATTAAACACATTCCATCCCACACTTGTTTTGACATTGTCCCTTGGAGAAAAATATTTTGTTTCATGGAGAGGCCTCGTTGTTGCTTTTCCTGTCAGGAATTGTTGCTCCACAAATGTTCAGCTCCATCCAAACCCTACAATGTAAAGTTCTCTAAAATTCCTTCTGCATCCAAGTCCTACAGCTGAAGTTTAACTCGTTGGGTTGTTCCAAAGATCACAGAACTGAGATAAAAACCTTGGAAAAGAGTTGAAATTTGATGTAGTCCATCCTCTGCTAGCAAAGGATGTGGGAATGTAGGAGATAAAATCCATACAGGGGTTGTATGAGACATTAATGAACTTCTAGGAGAACTGGAGAGTTCTGGGTTCACTCTTCAACTCTGATACTCAAAAATACCCAAGAATAAATATAAGTGAATAAGCACAATACTCCATTTCATATTATAATATTCACACTTTTCTCCAAGCCTTGTCTGAAAGGAGACATTAAAAAAAAAAATTTGAATGCAGTCACCCACACGTTGAGCTCTCAATGCTCAAGTTCCCAGAGGAATTCTCACATAAGGGATTAATGAGCTGCTGGTAGCTTCCATCTCAATAAACCTCTTATTTTAATTATCTGAAACTAAAATCAGCTTTTTCTGCTAAAGCTACAGGTCTTCCATGAATTTTCAATATATGTGCCACAAAGGACTGAAAATTGTCCAACTTTCTCCTCTTCTAAGTCATAATGCATTAAAAACCCACCCACCCACGTGCAGTGCCATTGAATTAAAAATGAAGTTTCACATCTTTAAAATGAGGCATGGGATGAATTTTCTGAACGTTTGTCCTGAAATGAACTTCGGCTGTGAATAATTCACAGAATTAATTTTTTTAGATTTTGGGTTATTTTGCACCATTAATTAAAGTATTGACGGAGATGTGAATTCTGCCTCTGGTTGTTGAGCACAAAGGTCTTTGTGAGGCTGGAGGGGACAAACCTGAGCATTGTGTGTCACTGAGGAGAGCAGGGAAAGGTGCCCAAATCCCTCTGCAGGGACTGACTCAGAGCTGTGCAGCATCAGCTTGTCAGGAGCAGAGCACAGACCAAAAATTCCAGATTGCCAGGTCTGAAGACTGGCGTTCTTATCCGTTAAAAAAGCATGGATTATTGGCTCCAACTTTGCTTTTTCAATTCCAACATGCCCAGAGGCTGAACAGAATTCACTTCCTTTTGGACAGGTAAACCTCTCTCTCCCTCCCCCGTTGGGACAGGGAATGTGGAGGCCAATTAATTGCATTAAAGTAATGATCTACTGCCTTTCTCTAAGGAGGAAATGATCACAGGGAAGTGGTGCTGAAATGGAAATTCTGAATATTCATTCAGAATGACTCCTTTCAAAGCTGCAAAGGACTGCACTGGATTTATCCTGCTGGGCAAAAGGTTTCCCAGATATTTATTAATCTCAGGGCATCCTGCTGGGTTTCTGCTCCGGAAATAGGAGGGGAAAAAAAAAAAAAAAAAAGCTCTGTTGGTTTCTGAATATGGAAGTCTGGCTTGGTCATTCATTATCTGTGTAGTTTGATAATTATCTATTTCCTAAGCAAATTGCTTTGGACATTTACTTGGAGGTAGGAGATTAATGAAGTTCTTTGCAAACTTCAGGAACCTGAAAATCTCCAAAGGTTCCGGAACTCAATTTTCCAGGTCAGTGGTTATTGGACTGTTGGTCACCCAGCAGAGAGCCCAGATTTGTACCTGAGCTTGTACAGAATCAACCAAAACCTCCCTCACGGCAGCACCGGGCTGGATCTTTGAGTCCACCGAGCTTAAATAACAAAAATCCCGAGCAGTCCAGTAAATACCAACCTGTGATTTACTGCCCAGGAGCAATCAGGGTTTCGAAAGAGCTGATAACGAGGCTGTCAAGGGCAGTTCAACGAGATAAAACCACTTCTGTCTCCAAAAGCCAAATCATCAGAACGTTTGTGAGCACTGAGAGATGCCCGGAATTGAACGAATTGTTTTTCTTAGCACGCGTTCCATGTTGGCACAGCTCCATTGGCTCTAGTGCAGTAAATATTCATTTATAATGCGGGAAAAAGAAGCTTTGTGTGGGTTTTTGTCCCTGGATTTTGGGGAGATGCCTCACACAGACCTGCACGTCAGCACGAGCTCCCTGGGGATTGATTTCCCTCACCCTGCCAGGAATGGTGCTGATGGATGGTATTTTTTCAATATGCATCATTTCTTCTGATTCTGCAAAAATTCAAGCCATTTTCATCCTTCCTCAGAAATCTGAATGGATTTTATCTTGTCCTAATGGCAGAGAAATGCCCCAATCTCACCCCTGGGACCTCCATGCCAGGCACAAATGTGTTCCCACTGTGCCAAGGATGCAGAAGCCTCTTTTGTAAAGACTTTAAAATAAATAATGGGACACTAATTTTAGAGGGAAAAAAAAAAATAGAACTCTTTATTTTCTTACAAAATTGCCTAGAAATATTCAGACAATGCACAATTGTTTCATACATTGTTATGGGGGTACATTTACTCATCTGAGCATAACAGAGGAGAACAAACAAATGAAAAACAAGAGACAGACCAACAAATACTAAGAACTTGCAACATTTCAGAATGTAAAAAAATAAATTCAAGGTAATGGATATGGAGATAAAGCTGTACTTGAAACTGCAAAGGTGTAAAATCAAAAAAATCCTGTATTGCATGCAGGGCAGTGACAATTTGAACCTTTAGATATTTTAATCTCCACGAGAAATAAACCCCTTGGAAATGCTCAGGGTCCTCATTTCCTGTGGGATTGTTCTTGGAAGCACAATTTTCTGTCATTAATGTCAAGTAACTATCCTGTTAGGATAACCATCATTCCTCAGAGGCAGAACCCATAGGATTCCAGTGGTTCCATTTCTGGATCAGGCCTTTCCCTGAAGTGAAAGACCACTAAGTTTTTTTTTTCCAATAAAAGTGGGATAAAATGGGTTGTGCAGGAGCTGGAGGGATGGAAATCCGTGGGGAAGAGCAGAGGGTGTGGCAGGCACGAAACTGCAACTGCTGAAAGCAAAGCAATAAATCCTGTCAGGTGCATTTGGTCCTATTTCCCTCCTACCCAGGCAGTGCAGAACGACAAAAAAAAATTAATTTCTTTAATTTTTCTGGTTTTCCAGCCCTGTTTTAGCCTATTTCCAGACTCCCAAGTCCCTTCTCATGGCACTGAGGAGGACTGAGCACTCTCCTCTCCCTCAAGCTCTCCCACTCCGAGCTGCCAGGACCAGTTCAGCCGTGACTGGTCCCAAACTGGGGCAGCTCTCCCCAAACTGGGATGTTAACCAATGTCCTGCACAGTCCCTCAGCTGCACTCAACCCCTGGATTTCCACAGCTCCGTGAAAGCACTTGGGTATTTTTCTCTCTTTTTAAGCACATTTTCCCAACAGAACAGTCTGGGAGTTTTTCCTGCTGCTATTCCTGGCTCAGCAGTTGTTCAAGGTGCAATTCTTCCCTTCTTCTTCTGCAGAAGTTCTTCCCTTCTTCTTCCAGTTCTTCTTCTGCAGCCTCCAGAGCTTGAATTCCACAGCTGATGTCTCTTTTTAAAGTGGAGGCAGCAGCAGGGATGTCCTTTATTTTTTGCAACCTGTATTGAACAACAACAACAAAAAAATCTTTATAGTGATTAGGTCAAAGCAAACAGCACTGAAGCTAAAGTTAAAGGAGTGAGTATTCAGATTATACTGAGAAATATTTTTTTTCCTGTGGTGTTGGCTGGCAAAAAAATCAATCTTCTCCTATATTGAAATGATTGAGAGGATCCTTTCAATTTCAAAAAAATATCTTCCCCACTATTGAAAGGATTGAAATCCTTGAATTCTATTTGGAGGATTTAAGTCTAGGATCAGAGATCTGTTTTCTCAATTTAGATTGTTACACAAGGAAGTTTTGTTAGCTCATTTGTATAAACTTGTGAGAAAGAAAATCCTATATTCAAAATATATAAGCTGCAACACTGCATGACTATTTACAAATCGATTTTCCTTTGTTCCTCTGCCTCAAATGAAGTTTTGTTATCCGAACTCTGTAGTGAGAAGTTCCTTCACTGAGGCTTCTTCTTTTTAATCTGCAAATTAAAGGTCAAGATCAAATGTTCTTTTCCAGGAAATATCTTCTGGGAATGCAGTGAAGAAGCTCTAACAGCACACTGGCTGTTATTTTCTGCACTAGTGGCTATATGTTGTTTTCCCCCTTTTTTATCTGCATGAAAATGTGAGTATAAAATTCACCCCAGGGCCAGGAGCTGTGTGAAATACGGGACATTTCCTGTTAAAACCCTGACACTTCATTTGTTCAAATAAAGAATCGGGATGGCTCTAGCACTGTGAGGATGAAGAGCAGACAAACATCTGTCTGTTTACACTCCCATTTCAGAATAAAAACCCCAAATCAGGTCCCAAAAGAGCTGCACCAACCTGCTCGTGGGTGGAAGGCGATGGGCAGAGCTCGGCTGGGGATGAGAATTCCCGAGTGCAGCGTCTCCACCGGCTCCCTGTCCGTGGCCACAATGTGGTACTTACGGAGCAGCTGGAAAAAAACATCCCCATCAGTGTGCTGGGCTCTGGATCTGACCAGCCAGAGGAGCAAACTCCCAAAATTCCCTTTTTTTTTGGTGTTTACCCAGCTCCTGTCCATGGAACAACACATTATTTATAGATCAGCTGGAATAAAACATCCCCATCAGTGTGCTGGGCTCTGGATCTGACCAGCCAGGGGAGCAAAACCCTCCAAAATTCCCTTTTTTGGGGGTGTTTACCCAGCTCCATGGCCACAATGCAGTATTTACAGACCAGCTGGAATATAAGAGTATGCTGGGTCTGGATCCCATCAGCTGGAGGGGTAAAACCCCCCAAAATTCCCTTTTTTTGGGTGTGTTTACCCAGCTCCTGTCCATGGAACAACACAGTATTTATAGATCAGCTGGAATAAAACATCCCCATCACTGTGCTCTACATCCCATCATCTGCAGGAGCAAAACCCCTCAAAATTCCCTTTTTTTGGGGGGTGTTTACCCAGCTCCTGTCCATGGCCACAGCGTGGCATTTACAAACCAGCTGGAATAAAACATCCCCATCACTGTGCTCTGCATCCCATCACCTGGAGGAGCAAAACCCCCCCAAATTCCCTTTTTTTTTTGGGGTGTTTACCCAGCACAGGGCCAGGTGCAGCTGCAGCTCTGCCACGCGGCGCCCCACGCACATCCTCTTGCCGAGGCCGAAGGGCACGTGGGAGAAGGGATGGATGGAGCCCTTGAGCAGCCAACGTTCGGGTCTGAACTCAGCCCAGCCCCTGAAATATTCCTCACTGCATCCCAGGGCGTGGCTGTTGATCATCAGCACCGTCTGGAAAAAAAAATTTTAAAAAAAATCAAGGTGTCACAAAGCAACCCCGAGGGAAGCGGCTGCGGGATGGAAAAGCTCAAAGCAGCAGTTGCAGTTCCCCAAAAAAAATTCGTAGGGATGTAGAAAAGGTCGTGGTTTCATCAGGGAATAATGGGGGAAATTGAAAAAGAAAAAAAAAAAAAAAAGTTAAGTTGGAATAGCGCATGAAAATTAATTAAATTAATTCAGGGAAATATTTCTGGCTAATTCCGACAGCAGGTGTGGGTTTGTGTTTATGGGAATCCTTGGAGTGAATCCCTCATTCTTTATCCTGGGGCTGGTACTATGGCAAAGCCAGTTTGAAACTGAAATATGAGCAACTTCTGTGGTTTAAAAGGCAATTAATAAATGGCAAAACATCCCAATAAACTGAATTAATTGACTTACCCCTTTGGGCAGCACGTAATTTCCCAGAACCATTTCTGTGTCGATGGTGCGAGTGGTGAAAGGCACTGATGGAGTTAATCTGCAGGGAAAAGACAACAATGGGTTCAATTCCCAACAATTTTCCTTCTTATATCCCTCATATTTTCCCTCAGACAGCAAAATGAACAAAATCCCGTGTGCTGGAAAATTCTTTCTCCCTTGTACAAAGCAGCTGGTGAAAAAACTCGGCGATTGCTTTGCAAATTATTTGGGAATTTCACCTCATGGATTCTTTGAGGCAGGCTTTTAGGTAAGGCATATTCCTCAGGCTCTCAGCACTTGGGTTCTCCTGAGCAGCCAAAACTCTCTGGATTTCCTGGAAAAGCTTCTGCTGGACGTGTGGATTGCGGGAAAGGTTGTACAGAGCCCACAGCAAACTGTTGGCTGTCTGCAACAAAGAAAAAAAAAAAAAAATAGGTTCAGTCCTCCTTTTGTAGGGACAGAAGAAGAAGTTGCCCAAAATTCAAAGCAATGTTTATGGCTGGATGGAATTTTGATAGCTGAGGGATTATGAGCAGTCCCAGTTGTCGTCCAGAATTTAAAATCCAGGGATTTCAGGTAAAAATACAAAGATTTTAGGAAAAAATCCAGGGATTTCAGGGAAAATTCAATTTACACTTGGGTCACTGAGGCCACTTCAGGGTTAACTCACTTCCAGGTGTGCTGGTGGTGGGGCTGTGGAAGGAAGAGGGGAATTGGGAAGAATTTTCAACTTTGGAAAATCAGCTTTATCATCTGCACCCTGGAAATCTGCACCTAAAGAGGGAACTGGGAAGAATTTAAAAATTTGGAAAATCAACTTTACCATTTTCACCTAAGCAATCTGCAACTAAAGAGGGAATTGGGAGGGACTGAAACCCTTGGAAAATCAGCTTTACATCAGCACCACAGTGATGTGCAGCTCAGGAGGGAATTGGGAAGAATTGGAACTTTTGGAAAATCAGCTTTACCATCTCCACCTTGGAAATCTGCACCTAAAGAGGGAACTGGGAAGAATTTAAACCCTTGGAAAATCAGCTTTACCATCTCCACCTTAGTGATCTGCAGTTCAGGAGGGAACTGGAATGATTTGAAACCCTTGGAAAATCAACTTTACATCAGCACCCCGGTGATCTGCAGCTCAGGAGGGAATTGGGAATAATTGGAACCTTTGGAAAATCAGCTTTATCATCTCCACCTCAGTGATCTGCAGTTCAGGAGGGAATTGGGAGGAACTGAAACTCTTGGAAAATCAGCTTTACATCAGCACCCTGGCAATCTGCAGGTAAGGAGGGAATTGGGAGGGACTGAAACCCTTGGAAAATCAACTTTATCACCTGCAGCCTGGAAATCTGCACCTAAAGAGGGAACTGGGAGGAATTGAAACCCTTGGAAAATCAACTTTTCATCAGCACCCCAGCGATCTGCAGCTCAGGAGGGAATTGGAATAATTTGAAACCCTTAGAAAATCATCTTTACCATCTCCACCTTGGTAACCTGCACCTAAAGAGGGAACTGAGAGGGATTGAAACCCTTGGAAAAATCATCTTTACCGTCTCCACTCCAGCGATCTGCAGCTCTGCGATGGCAGCATAGAGCTCCTTCCTGGACAGGTGTCCCCCCGAGTAGATGTCACACAGCAAATCCTCCTGGGGGTTGGCTGAGTGCTTCTGCAGCCGGCAGTCGATGGAGTGCTTGGCTGAGGAGGGCAGGAAATCCCTCAAAAATCCCTCAAAAATCCCATAAAACCAACAGCAAACCCACGATCATCATGCAGGGTTTTAAAGAAGTGCCAAGCCTTGCTCTGTTTGCAGCAGTGGGTAAAGAATGATTTATAGAGAATAAAGAACGGTGGTTTCATTTTTCAGATAATAAAACTCAGTCCCAAAAAAATCGATTTTCGACAGAGGAGCTCCTGCAAACCCTTAGGAATTCTGCTCTCTTTAAATTAGGGGAGGAAATCAGTGACAGGTTGAAGGAAATATTCAGCAAACAGAAACGTGAGAGTGTAAAATTTATTACCTGGGGTTTTCAAAGGGGATCAAGGTGTTAAAAAAATCAAAGGGATTTAGCGCTCAGAAGCCCCGAGGGGAAATGTAAACCTTGGGTTTACCAGGGGAAGGCACAAAGAGATGCCAAATTTCGACATGCTGGGTGTATTTTTAAAATGAAAATAAACAGATTTTGCTCGTGAATATCCCAGCTGCTAAACCCAGTTCCTGTAAGGAATTATTAATTTGAAGTGAAGGTGTCAAACTGGTTTTTCTGAGCAAAACTGGCTGAAAGTGTCTTTCCTAAAGCCCATCAACTAACCAGCAATAAAATGAGTATGTGGCTGGCAGGATAAAAAGCCTTGGGACTCAAATTCCCAAGGGAAATATCTCAGTGTTACAGCTCCCCAAAAGCTTTCTCAACCTTTGGTTATACCTCTCACTGCTTAAATTAATGAAATTTTAAAAATTAAAAAATACATACTTCACATCTGGAGTTTGAGTGATTTTGAACCTTGGAAGGCCAGCTCATTTTAAATAGTCAAAAAATGTTGTCAAAAAGTCAAATTGCACCTTATTATTTAAATTACTTTTGGTTTTAAGATTTACAACTGTGTTGCAGGTTGTTCTGAAAAGCTTTAATTTCTTTTTTCTTTTTTTTTTTTAGCAAGCAGGTTTTTGCTGCATGCACAATTCTTGTTTCTTGAAAATGAGTCTTTGACGAAAGTCCCTTTTCATTTACACCCTTGCCTTGAAGAGATTATACATTTTTAATTTACTTTAGTGACAGATTAACGTGGTGCATGGCACTGCTGGCTCCCAGAATCCTGGGATTTCCCTGGGAATGGGATATTGCCCCATAACCTGGGTGTTAGTCACTAAAAACTGCTCCCACATGAGAATAAACCCGAGTTTAGGTACAGCAAAAAAACTTTTAATCCATGCTGAAAGCGAGGATTAAGTGTGAAAAAATCAATTCTAGCAAGGAGGAGACAGAGATAAAGGGCAAGGAGATGAATTGGGGTTAAATAATGACCTGTTTTAAAGATATCATCCCATGCTTTGGTGTGAGCTTGCCAGACTTTGGTGTTGAGCCCCTTGTGCAGCTCCACGGGGGTCACCATCATCATCCCAAAAGTGGCCATCATCTGTGGGGGGAAACAGGAGGGGAAACCTCTCTTTAATCTCTTTAATCCATCTGCTTGCAATCCCTGGACAATATCAGGCTGGAAAGTAAAGGGAAATTTTCAGGAAGGCAAAATCCTGGTGGGTTTTCCATCCCGGACAGGGAAGATGGGTCTCAGTCTACTTAGGGCATATCCAGGTACAAATTAAAGACAGGAATTGCTCAGTAGGGAATGCATCCTGTTTATTTTACAGCTGTTGGGAGTGGCACGAGGTATTTTTTTGGCAGTGCCTCTGTCTCCCTCGAGAACAGATGAGCTGAAAGCTGAGCAGGGCTGGCTGCCTGTGTGTGGTGACTGAAATGGGGCAGCTTTGTACCCCAGAGCCCCAAAGGCACAGCAGCTCCAACCCCAAACCCGGGGGTTTGTATAACCCCAGTGCCTCAGAGGGGAGCAGAGGCACCAGCCAGGCTGACAATTCTCCTTCCACGATTGCCCTGGTGGCCACTCAGCATTGTCCCTGCCAGACTGAGGCATTCCATAAAGGAGGAAGAAGTCCAGGGTGAGCTGGGCACGTTTAGCACAGAAGCCTGAGCTGCTTTTTCCAGCTCACTCCTTTAAATGCTGCCTCTCATGAACAGCAGGGGTTAAAAATCACCACAGCCCCAGGAGAGAATGTCCCATACCGTTTTTACAGCCTTGATGAAGTTCAGACTTTCTTCTTCCACGTCCTGCTGCAGGAGGCCAAACCTCTTTCCATACAGCACCAGACAGATACCTGTTGTTAGGCAATATTAAAATTAAATTTATAAACCAAAGGGTGTGTGGGATGCGTTATTTATCATCAAGGAATGGCTTGGATGAGCCTTCTGAAAATGTTCCCTGATGCAGACCTGTCACAGCAGCACCTGTAAAACACCTCCTGCCTGTTTGCCTTGGCCCCAGCGAGGGTTTCCAGCCAAGGGAACCTTACAGCAAAATTTCTGCACAAATTAGGATTGCCACTGATCCCCTCACGAGCAGCAGAACTGGATATTTGGTGGCTTTACTGAAGAAAATTGAGTGGCAGGAGAAGAGGGCTGGAAGAGCCATGTACCACAGCATTCCCTGCTCCTTTCCACAGCCACAAAGCTCTGACAAACACTGGCAGCATCCCACACTCCACCACTTCCCACCTCTTTCCACTTGTCTTATTTTCCCCTCTTTCTTTTCAAGCTGTCATTTCCTATTTCTCCCTTTCCAAAAGCAGCCATTACCACTGGCAGTGGAAAAAAAAATTAAAAAAATTTGAGGAGCTCAGTGCAGAGGCTGCTGAGAGGAGGCAGCCAAGAGAGTCGAGTCTGGCAGAGCTGCTTCAGTCACTACACTCAGCCATCCCTTTTTTTGGGAATCTCTGAGCCAGTTTGTGCCCTGTGCCATTCCTGGCACATTCCTCAGCGTGCTCTGAAAGGTTTCTAAGGATGAGGCTCTGTCTTGGTAAATCATTCCTGCACCTCTCAGTCCCAATGTAAATATTGGAAATGGGATTTTTCAATGTTTGCCCACAGCCAACACTCTGCTCTTGGAATATTTCATTGATCCTGCACACTGCTGATAATTAACAAATATCAGATGGACAAAAAAGGCTGTGTGTTATCTGATCCCACTCTAGATAAATGAACCATAATCCCCCCCCCAATTTTTTGATTTATAATTCATTGGAATGTTTGAATTCTTATAAGCCATGCAGGTAGCTAGGCAGAAATTTATATTTGTGCTGATGAATTTTGTGCTGACAGTCCCTGGATGTTCTGCAACTCTTTTTCCATGATATTATAGCTGAGAGTTTGGAAAAAAATCAGCTAACACATTCATCCCTGATCATATTTTAACTGCAATGCCCTGGCAGGTGCCCCACACTCAGGCAAAATCCAACTCACTTTCAAAAGACCATTTGTTGAATTCTGAATAGACATCTTCCATCTGTCCATTGTGGTCACAAATTTCATCTATTCTGTGCATAAAATCCTCCAGGACCTAAATGGTGGAGAGAAGAGAGAGAAAAGAAGGGAATAAAATGACATCAACTAATAAAAATCCACTGTAAATCAACATTTCAGCTGCCTTTTAAGCAGATAACAATCTTGCATGAGTGGAATCTTTTTGTTCCCTGTTCTTTGAACAAGATTCGACTTCCCCTGTGTGAACAAACGTTGGGATTTGACACAGCTCTCGTGCTTCGATGAACTGTGCTTCCCTCGCAGGGATGCAATCCTTCACTCGGGCCAGCGCTGGCGTTTCACAACTGAGGATTAAGGTGTTTATCCTCAGATCCCTCAGCAGCACAGAGGTTAAGGACAGATGTGTTCCCTGAGGGGACAGCACAAGAATGAAGGGCTAAATGCAAAAACTACGGAATGCAGGAGAAGCAGGGAAAAGCTGTTTGAATCCTTATGGAATAATCCTGGGTTTTTTTCAGGTTTTTGCGTGGTCTCAGACCCAGGCAATCAGTTTGTATTTGTTATTCCCTGAATGATCTGGGTCTGAAGTCGTGGTTTTATCACTGTGGAGTAAATAAAGCCATGCAGATAAACCGGATTTAATTCCCGGCCTTCCAGGGGAGCGGGGAAGGAGAGAGGATTCCTCCGGGCACGGTACCTCATTGATCGTCGTATCCAGTTTCACAACCTCCCTGGGCTTCATTAATTTCTTCTGAAAGGCGCTTCTCACCCTCTGCCAGTCCTTTCCCTCCCTGGATTGGAACAGCGACAGCGAGGTTGGGGAGCGAAAAGCTCAAAGAATGAAAAAAGGAAAAAACCCAAACCCGCAGCGTGCTCACTGCTGATGTTCCATCGCACCGACAGCAGCACCGGGGGATGCTCGGGGGTGGGAATGAGCCCCAAATACCTTCAGGGGGATCCTCGGGGGAGTGAGATGAGCCCCCAAACACCCTTGGGGGGATGCTCGGGGGTGGGAATGAGCCCCCAAACACCCTCGGGGGAATGCTCGGGGGTAGGAGATGAGCCCCAGACACCCTTGGGGGGATGCTCGGGGAGGGATATGAGCTCCAGACACCCTCGGGGGCGCAGCCCGGGACCCCCAGATCCCCCTGGAGCCGGGATGGGCGCAGCCGCATTCCCCAGGCTCCGGACCCTCCCGCACCCGCCGGGATGCTGCGGGTACCACTCACAGGATGAGCAGCCCGTAGCCCTCGTCGCGATAGTCGCGATAGGCTTTCCAGGGCTTGATCTCGAGGCGCTGGGGGCAGGCGCTCTCGCGGCGGTACAGAGCCTCCAGCAGGCAGGGAGCCGCGATGTGCACCGAGTCGAACGCGCCCAGCTTCATGCGGAAAATCTTCCCGAACCTCCGGTGGTACTGAGCCTAGAGAGCAGGGAAAAAAAAAAAACCAAAAACCAACGCGGTGAGCGCAGGGCGCTCCCCGGCGCAGCATCCTCATCCCATCCCATCCCATCCCACTCCATCCCCATCCCATTCCCAACTTCTCCCCCGTCCCCGCAGCCTCACCAGCGTCTCGTGCTGCCTCTTGAGCCCCCCTTTCCAGAGCACATCGGGCAGGCTGCCCATGAGCGGCCAGCTGGGCGGCCCGGGCAGCGTCTCCGCCGGCCGCAGAGCGCTCAGCGAGGACGCGGCGCGGCCGCAGGTACGGCCGGGGAGCCGGCGAGGGAGGAGGAGGAGGAGGATGCTGCAGCCGCCCATGGCCACGGTGCCGGCCCCCGGGTCAGCTTAGGTGCATTTATAGCAGCCCGAGGTGCTGGACTTTCATCCGCGCCAATGGGAGCCCTGGGTGGGGTGAGGTGGGGCGGCTGCCCCGGCCCTGCCCGCCGAGCCCGCGGGGCAGGCGGGTCATGAAAGGGTTCAGGAGAGGCGGGGAAGGCACCGAGCCAGAGGCTCCGCCCG